AAAACAACCAACACTGGTATATCTTGAGTGCCCGAGGTAGTGGTAGAGCAACAGTTCTCGGTAGAAGGATTGCTCCTGAAATGAGATGAAGTTGAGGCAGCGTCCGGAGCTGCATGCCGAGTTTCTGCTGGCTCTGGCGGTCCATGACCCGGCATCTCGTGAAGCAGGATGGAATTCTTCCTGCAACTTCTGCTACACACTGCGTAGTGTTGGGAGTTATTAGTGCATGAGGGAGCTTAGGTTGCGCTGCACGTGCAACTGCGGTGATTTGCACTGCAGAGCAGTTGAGGTGCTCGGCAGTGGGAATGGCCGGAAACCCCAGATGCACACTTGCCAGCTGCTTCAGCCAGGTCTTTTGACCGGCGAATACATCCCAAGCCTGAGGCCCCTTCAATGTTGATTGCATTGCACCTTCAACCGCAAGCCGCAAACCTCCTAGGCCTCTCAGGTTGCTCCGCAACAACGTTAAATGGCACCAACAGCTGGAGGGATGACTGCCAACCTCTGAAGCCCCGAGGTGAGACAAAGGTCGCTTCAACTGCCAGCATGAAATCTCGGTCTGGCTCCCCAAGCACTGGGGGTTTACTAGGGTTTCAGGGTTCGGGGCTTAAGATTTTAGGGTTTTAGGCTTCAGGGAGTGGGAGTGTTTAGGATTCAGGGTCTACGGGCTCAGGGTTTTCGGGTTTAGGGCCTGGGGGTTCAGGTTGCGGGATGTTTCATTGTACGGGACATGCTGTTGTGTCTTGTCTTGATTTTTTCGGTTCAGTACTGTTAAGACTATCTCTGCTACGATTGCAAACGTCCCGTTTACCAACACATCGACATCAGCAATGTCTTCATGAGTACCAGAGCTCTACGCACCATCAGCTGTTTTGCTGTAGAATGATCCAACATGACCCTAAACTTTTAGGGGCTGCACCCTTGTACGCCAGTGCAGCATTTTGTGGTTTTCAAGCAACCTAAGATTCGCCGAAATCGGGCGAACAAATCAAACTCTAGTGAAACAGAAATCTGTCTGGACAAATCGAACTTGTAATATGCGCTGAACTGTGACAGGAAATTCAAAATTACGAAATCCGCTCGGATACGTAAATATTTGCCTAGTCTGGAACAACCAGAATTGAACGAACTCTGGCCGGGAACAAAGACCGCAAATTGCGGAAGTCGGGCACGACAACCTGCCGACAACCTGCCAAAATCCTTTCTGACCCAAAGCAACATTTGCAGAACTCTCGGCAGAACACCCAGATTTCCTGCAGTTTGGGCCACAAAATTGCCGAAAAAATATCTACACTTGCTGAAATCTGGTGGTAAACCGAAGCCCCGGAGCCTGTTTGCAATCCTTCTCGAACAGCACGATTCGAACCGATTTTTTCGCGGAATCCATCATAAAGGGACTTGATCCGGGCGTCGCTGCGCTAACGTTTGGGGCTTGGGATTCGGGGGATGGCTGGACCAAGGACCGTTATCAGCCCAGGCAGGTCACTTATGAGCACTTGTCTGCCTGCGCCGGTCCGGAGCGCCTACGACTGCAACGACGACCACCATGAAACCAGCGGAAGCATGTAGCAAAGTATACCAAAGGATTACAGCTCCAGAGGTGTACAGAACCATATTCAGCAGCGAAGCCAAATTTGACAGCCCGGCGCAAATGATTGCGGACATACAAGGGTGGGAGCTCAAGAATATCACACTCGGTCATTTGACAGGAGGCTCACGGAAGAAGCAATGGGGGAAAATTGGCAGTGAGACTTCTGGACAGCTCTTGCTCAAGCCTGACCTGGCTGAAGCTTTTGGTTCAAGCAAGCAGGGTTTAGGGTTTAGGGTTTAGGGTTTAAGGGGCATTTTCTGCGCGCTTACTGGCCGTCGAAGCAAACAGACACCAGTGATTCGGGGATGGACCTGTGCTGGGGCAGCTGTGGCTGGGGGCTGGCAAATCCTGCCAGAATATTGCCGGAATCACAAAATCTGCTGTAATGCGGGCGGAACTGCAAAATCTGACCTAAGCCCTAAACCCTAAACCCTAAACCCTAAACCAAGGGAATCTGGGAATTTCAAAGTCAGCTAAAATCTGGCCGGAAATGGTCCGAAACTTGCAGGAACTGTGGAGAAGAGCAGCGAGATCCGCAGTTGCCAGACTCACAAATTGCAACCTTTGTCAAAATCCTACCGTACGCCAAAATCTGCCGAATTCTGGCCGGGAACTGCCAAGTTTTGCCGAAATCTGTTGCCGAAATCTGTTCAGGCCGGTTGGAAACTACACAGAATGAACGTTTCACAGGGAGTTGACCTGGGTGCCACGCTGCGCTGGCGAACCCTAAACCCTATACCGTTGAACCCTAAAACCTATACCGTTGAACCCTAAACCCTATACCGTTACCCTAAACCCATCTAAACCCTAAGCCATCCTAAACCCAAACTATATCTTTACCCTAAACCCATCTAAACCCTAAACCCAAAATGATCCGTCGACTCTCTGCGCGACTCCTTGCGGCTCTGAGGCCAGGCTCCACCTCGCCAGTCGCCTCCAGGAACGTTGGCTCCTCGCTTAGCCGAGGGAAGGGCTCTCTCTTTCTCTCTCGCTCGCCCGGCTATGTTCATAATACGATTCATATGTGCACTTACTGTTTTGAATGCTCATGTGTGTCTCTGTGCACAAAGGCGTACATGCTTTTCTGTACAGAAGCATAGATATGTGAGTTTGTGCTCTGGATCTGTGCATGTATCTGCACAATTATAGGATTTATGTTGTTGTGTTCGTCTACGTGTGAGTGCGTGTATACCACAGGGACACACAGGTGGACAGGTCGACATGAGTTGGAAGGAATGGATCATGTGTCATGGACCAGTTGCAGAACAGTTAAGCAGATGGAGACAGCAGTGATAATACAGATGTCCTGCAGCGACATCATGCTTATACTGGCGAGTGTGAGAAGCGAAGTTTCAATTGCTTATCTTTGCTGAGGTGACATCAGCGTCATGTTGGAATCGATGGAGGTACTGCGGAAGGGGTTTGATCGGGATGTGCTTGTGCGCACAGGGCTCAGGTTTCTATGCAATGTATGTGTGGTTTTTGCTACTCAGCACACAGCACATCTTCGCCGATCCTGGCACTTGGCTAGGCGATTTTCTGGACGTCGCTCTGTTGTGTGAAGCTTCCGGGATTCCGCTCCAGAATCCTGACCAGGAGATCGAGGGCAATGAGCCGAACGACGCGAAGGCAGGTCCCGCCAGATGTCCAGAACATGCTCGGCAGTGATGGAGCCAGGAAAAGAAAGACAAGAAAGACAAGAAGGATAAGAAGGAGAAGAAGGACCCTTGGCGAGCGGCGAGCGGCCTGTTGTGACTGGAGACCTTTGAGCTGGGGCCGGTGGATACTGCAATCTTGCTGTTGCAGCCTAGCTAAGCCAGCTAAGCACTCATCTGCTGGAATTGCAGAATTCCAGAATGTGGTTTTCGCATAGCTGGATGGGCGCTGCATGTTGGATGGGCGGTGCGCACAGGGCTCAACACGGATGTAAACGACAGGACGAGAAGGAGAAGAAAGAGAAAAAGGATAAGGAGGAGGCACTCTTGCTTTGCCTCGGCTTGGCTGTGCTTGACCCTTGCTTTTCATGCAAGGTAAGCGCATCTTGCTTGCTTGCAGGATGGTGACAAAAAGGATAAGAAAGAAAAGAAGGACGGCTTCGTCTGGCAGCCGTTAACGTACTGTCAATGCTTGTCATCCAACAGTTTGCGCGCAGGACAAGAAGGCCAAGAAGTGACGGGTGGCCACTTTAAGCCACCCAGTGCTTCAGTTGCAGGGAAGAACATGGGGTTTCCGAAAATAGGGGACCTTAATATAGTACCCCAAATAGTAGAATCCTGATTATAAGGACCCCCAAAAAGGCGCCCCTTACTTTCGGAAACCCCCACCTCGTGATAGCGTTGCCTTCACTTTGCCGACACGCTGAGGCCCTTCGACTCTGGGAAGTCCAACCCATGGCATCTGGAGCCTTGAAAAGGGTGCTCGGTTCGATGCAGCAGTGGCTCAGAATTCTGTCTTCAGCTTAGAACAGGGATTTGGAGTGGAGTTTGGTCTAATCAACTATAAACGGAATATTCGAGCATAGTCAGTATAGTTCTATATAGAGACCATTAGGGCTATTACTCTGCCACAGTCTAGAAGCCAGACTGTTTGCCTTGTGTCAGCTGTTCCGGGCCACACGACCACAACCTCTCACCCTTGTCAGATAGGCTTTGAAAGTCTATCTGGCATGCAGCATACCGCACTTCAAAAACTGCCTCGGGTAGTTCTCTCCGTAGGCTCAGGCCCAAGCTGCTTGGCAGCAGTTAACGACAGACATGGCTGATCAAAGGCCAAAGCCGCTTTTCCCACGCGCCGTTTTGAACAGACCCGGAAAGGCCCCCTGACCCCGAGAGCGCTTTCCCCGTCTTCAAAGCGACGCGAGATTCCACTTTGCAACATGGCACAAATGTGCCCGCATTCAAACCTGGTGGTGCTCCAAGAGCGGAGAGCAAAATGTGAGCTCCAGAACTGTAAGATGTCGTGCCAAGATATCAGCTATGGAAGGGTTTTGCATTGCGAACTCTAGTCGCTCGTCTACAGTGCCTGGTCGATGGCAGCGATTTGTACCATCTGTAGCTGCTATTTGCATGCAAGAGGCTGCTTAAATTAATGCTGCTACACTTATTTCCCTATCATTCGTGGAATTGCCATGATTCTAAGTTCTTGCAGCAGCACCAGCGGCCTCTGCAACTATACGGATGTTTCGTGCTGCTGTCTCTGCTACATCTGCGTGTGCTATGCCGGCGACAACGACTCCTTTAAATTTTCACCCACTCCCGCCAGCACAACCGATGCTACTGCTTGTGACATGGTTGCAGGATGGGTACGGATGATAGTACGAACAGGACAGGAGAGCCAGACAACTGGAGCTGGGAGTACAGGTTTCACCGAGTCATAGGGCAATAAAGGAGGAAGACTGCTCACAGGAAGCATGCTTTGCCGCAGGCCAGACTTTGGAAGTCTCGAAGTCAAACCGACCTTTCAGTTTTCAGTTGCCATCGTGCCCATGGCGACAAGTGCCCCGCTCCTGGGCAAGGCCGCCCACAGCAAGGCATCGATCTTCTATGGGGCAGATGAGTATCTTGAGGAGCTTAAGAAGAAGTACGCACACGACCACGAAATTGCTGCGTTGAAGAATGCTCTGCCGGGCGAGGGGGATCCTAATGCTGCAGGCGTTGCCCAGAGCAGCGACAAGATGCTCTCCGTTCAGAAGAACAATGAGAACAGGAGCTTGAAGACCAATCGGCTCTTCCCGACACCGAACAAGCCAGACCCGATGCCGCAGAACCTGGCATTCCTCTTCACCAAGATCACGCCGGAGCGGGGTGCTGTACCTGATAATGGTTGGGTTTGCTAGCTTCAGATGCGTCCGTAAGTTTGGCACACTTCTGCATGGTGCCGTTCGTGACCCCCCAAAAAGTCGATTTTTTACAGTTTAGGAGCAGATGATCTACATGAATCTTTGCCATATTTGGGCAGCGTTTTAATTTTGTATGAGTACTTAAACCAACGGAGGAATAGCAGCTCATATTTCAATACTATCCTAGCCATGGACTAGGTGGAATGTCCTTACCGCAATTTTCTGCACTCAAGTGCTGATGGTGATCGGCTACTGTGCAGCCTTGGCTACCTTTCCGGACTACTGGTGGACCTGCACGCTTTGCTTCGGTCTCCCGTTCTCGTACATCGCCATCCAGAACATTTACATCGATCACGATGTGATGCACGGCGCCACTTTCCCGGTTTACGAGTGGCAGCGCTTTTTGACGCATCCATTTGCGGACTTTTTCAGCCTCCCGTGGGAGGAATTCGTGCTGGAGCACAACAGGCATCATGCCTCAACTGTGGACTTGCTGATCCAGGGCGAGTTCGGCTGGGACCCTGAGGAGTTCCATTACGCCCTCCAGCAGTGGGCCGGGCCATGGAGCTCCAACTGGTACAAGTACCTGCTCACCGTCCCCTTTATCCCGGTGATCCATTTCTTCGGTCTCAATGATACCGGCTCTCTGTTTGCCTTGGAGTGGTGGATGCACTTCCCCGACGAGGGTGCAGGTGGCAAGTGCAACAAGGAGCTTCCCGGCTCGATTAGGTTGGTGGCCGATCAAAGCTATAGGAAGGCAATGAAAAAGGCCAGACATGTTGCTGGCTTGCATGTCAATTCCCTTCCTGCTCAGGTTCTGGAGCAAGTGGATTCCCCGCCGAATCAAGCACAATGCCTTCGTGCTCTCCCTGTGGGCCTGCATTTGGCTGCTTGGTACCTACCCTCTGGGACGTCCGCTGAGCGAGGGGTGGCGGTTCATGTTCACCGTGTCCTTCTTCGCTCGCATCGGCTACTCCGCGGCCTGGATGTTCATTACCAACTTCACTCATAGCTTCTGAGCGGCTTCAACTTGAGAATATTTTGAGTTTCCCGTCAGGTCTCAGGGAGGTGGAAGGAAGCCTAGCTGATTGCCAACATTATTCCTCCGGTGTCCTCGTTATCAGTATAGTCTAGCTTATCTCAACACACTATCCCAACTAACAATGTCCCGATGTTAACCCAAACCATAAACCCTAAGCCTTAAAACTTAATCCCGAAAGATATCACAGCCCAGGCTTGCCTTGGAACGAGTTCCTGGCACAGGACCCGGGCCGCACATGGCCTGTTCTTCACAACGTGATGGCCATGGTTCTGGGAGGCCGGTTTGGACTCTTAACATGACAGCAGCTGTTCAGGGTTTTGGAAGGTGTGATTCGGAAGAGTTGCAGGAAAGCACCGCTGGAACGAGATGCTCTTCCACGACGCAACTCAGCTGTTCTGGAACTTAACCACGGGTACATATGTCGTCAACTCGTCAACAGTTGCGTGCAGTTCCGAAAAACGAGATCTTATCTCGAATGCTTAATCGAAAAAGATCCCGAGCCTTAAACTAGAAGACGAGTGGCCCGAAAGCATCATTTGCCAAGAGTTTTGCGCTATGTCAAGTCATAGTGTCAAGTATATAAAGTCATAGAGTCAGGTGCACAGTGATGTACTTCACTCTGTGTACTGTGGTAAATGCACTTGATTGGATGTACTTCACTCTATGTACTATGCCAATCCACGCAAAGGGTTGCGCGGGAATGTCAAAAATAGCAACTTTACCTCGCGTTCGTGCGCTCGACCACGCCAATCCATGCAAAGGGTTGCAATCCCGATCGATGGCATCGGCGCCGCCCCGGCTTCAAAAAGAAAGATAGATATACCGAGATGTAGATGTAGATGAGTCGGGTACTCGATGTACTTCACTCTATGTACTTGGCTCGATGTACTACGTACTTCAGTCTGTGTGCTATGTACTTGACTCGATGTACTATGTGCTTCACTCTGTGTACTATGTACTTGACTCGATGTACTACCTCTGTGTACTACGATGCACTCTGTGTACTATGTACTTGACTCGATGTACTATGTGCTTTACTCTGTGTGCTACGATGTCCTGAACTCTGTATATTTGGCTCGATGTACTATGTACTTCACTCCGTGTACTATGTCCTTGCCTCGATGTACTTCACTTTGTGTACTTGGCTCTACGAAGTACTTGACTCTGTGTATGTACTTTACTATGTCCTTGCCTCGATGTACTTCACTCTCTTGGCTCGACGATGTACTTGACTCTGCGTACTATGCTTGCATAGTTCTTTGTGTACTTGATCCTATGTACTTGTCTCGAGGGCTTCACACGGAAGGACCCTTCGCGATGCTCTCGGGAATTTGCAAAAAAAAACAAGGTCCATCACGCTTTTCCAAACGCTGTCGGCACGCTCAGCCAGCGCGGCCGCTTCCACGGCTGGGAGAAGGTTCTTTGGTCGCAGTGTCGCAGCTGAGTAAGGTCATTGGCCTCCGCCTTTGCAGTGAGAGCTTCCGTCACTCAGACGGTCGTCGCGAAACTTTGAACCGCTTAAAGCCTGAAGCAATGTCTCCGGCAAGACATGGGAAGTGGTCGGATCTGCCAACTCGAGGTTCATGATGCAGCGGCGGAAGTCCTGCACCGAGGGCTCTGGAAGCCTAATGGCGATGAGGACGCCAGCGGCCTTCAAGTTGTTGCATCTTTCTGCGTGGATTTGACAGCTTTCGGTGCTTCAGGAGACACAGATGCAGAAGACTCAGAAGAAGCGATCCATGATGATGCAGCAGGGCAAGTAAGTGCGCAACTCTTAAGTTTTCGCTTCTGCCAGCATAGGGCTGCTCAGCTACGATGACAGCCTGGCAGAAGCCTCTCTTGTGGGCCTCTTGCGAAGGGCCCAGCTTGTACAGAACCTCTGTGCGCCACGGGGCATGCGAGGTCAGTGGGGAGGCCCACCGCTGCAACTTCTCAGTTACGTCCGGTTGGACTCGGTTTCATGCAGGAGCCTGGACAGGAGACGCCAGAAAGCCGTTCCTGGAGTACATGGGCTCGTCGGGTCTTGGGCTACATCAGATTATGTACGAACCTGAAAAGCTACGAGACTACATAGCTCGTTGGATTGTGTACGAGCTTGCAACAATACTGGTAACCACGACAGGAGTAAGCGATCATATATGGTCATCATCATCATCACCACCATCGCGGTCATTATCATTACTACTCTGCACGCAGGGCTACAGTGGAGGAGGAACCGGAGGCAGCAGCAGCCGGCATGCGCTGAAGGACTGCAGCTTTTGTCGTGACCGGGGGCTGGCGGGACGGTGTCTCGCGGAACGGTGTCGCACAAGCAGGTGGTTCACGTAGGCGAGTTTGTATGCCATGGTCAAAGTGCCACCCGCCCCGTAGTAGTGATGAGAAATGGGTTCGCCCCAGTGAAGCCGAATGTCGACTTGTTAATGTGATAATGGCCCTGCGGCCTTGTCGAAGGCCAAGCCATCACTCACTGGCAACCAGGCGGGCCGTGATTCGTCCATTCTCTTGACCGCCTGCCTTGCTTTTGTCCACTGTTGCGGTCCGTAGGACAGCTCCTCCCCGGCCCTGTCTCCTTCGAGCCAGGCCCCTTCGTAGGTCGTAGGTCGAGCGCAGCATGCCTGTTTCAGTGACCGCCTCGCTGTGCAGGCCCTTGGCATTGGTGTCACCGGCCAGTCTGGAAGGCAAGTGCACCCAGCAGAACATGGAAGGGTTCAGAGACAGGATGCACCAAACTTGGCCTGTTCAGGTCGATCCCCGTCATGCCCAGCGCAGGCCGATAGTTTGGCGTTCGGGAACAATGCATGCGGCATGGGAGCAGCAAGCACCATCAAGCGCCCCGAGAACTTATGGCCAGGTCCACAGTATCGAGATGCAGAAATGCAGAGCGAGAAGTGGCACGTCCCTGAGTGGTGCCAATCCGACATACGGGGGAGGCCGTTGTCAAAACGACAGTCAATGTCCGAGGTCCACGGATTTCGGCCGAATAGTTGGATCACCGAAGGCGCGTGAAGCAGTTTTGCGCACGACGAGTGTGATGTGTGACCGAAAGCTGTGATGAAGCTCTACACTGCCAGGGAGGTGCTCGAGTGGCATCTTTCGTGCGACTCAACGGCTTCCTCCTCAGGACCGCCGTGTGTTTGTGTTTTGCCTGACGCCGATCGGGAAAACTGAATGCGAGACAGGACTCACATTACAAGCCTCCTCTCTGCGTTGGCAGAGGATGGATGGCTGGAGGCATCTGCCACGATTAGAGTTTCAGCATGTCTAAGCTCTGGAATTTGTTTACAATCATGGAACGCCCAGAACACGGGCTGCCCGAGAAGTTGTGCATGTTGTCTCGCTTCATCTCGGTCTTAACATGCATGTTCAGCGGCATCCGGGGATGATTGTAAGATGCAGAGTACGTCCATCTTGGCAGACAAACCCCGGAAGATCAGCCGCAGCTTCCACCCCTGCTTACCCAGTCTCGCCAGACACGTAGGTGCTGGTGTTGTCAAGAAATGTGACGGTCTCGTCGTAGTGCGGGATCACCTGAAGGCCAGAAGCCTTAAACCCCAAACCCTGAACACTGCTGTGGCGTATGCTTAGGGTGACAGGCGAACGCAAATTGGAGGCATTCGGACCATTCAGACCAAGGAGTGGATTGGAGGTTTGATCTTTACTTGGGTGCTTCCTTTGCCCTAGTCACTAGTTACGAGTTCCTTATTTGTGCTTCCTGCACCGTAGGACATTTTGACCACAAGCAGGACGTTAGAATTCGGAATGTAATGTTTGGACGGGTCCGGCCTCAATGGCATCAACGGAATTTCAGGCTGTGAACGTGCAAATTTGCCCCGGAGATAGCAGGCGTTTGCAGGATGTGTCGGCGCGGGTGCGTAATGTCTCTGGTGCTCTGGCCGGCAGGTGGCGAAAGACATAACTATGACTATGACTACTACTACGACTATGACGATGCCTTTGCTGATGATGCTGATGGACACGGTGATAGTGATGTTGACTCTTGCTAGAACGGTTTCGTTTACAAACGTATCTACGCCTGTAGACCCTGGGAGGCCTGGGAGAAGGATCGGCTTTGCAGTTCGGCACGGGATGCCGAATCGCGCTGGGCACAAAGCTTCCTCCAGGCAGGGACAACCGAAGAACAGCCAACGGAAGAGAATAAGCACATCAGGAAGAGTTAGACAAGCACCACACTCTGAAGCAAGAGAAGAACGAGAGAGACAAAGAGATAGAAGTGGAAAACATCTCATGTAGATTAGAATAAGGCTTTAGCTAGGATGTTCACGATATCTTCGTTCTTCACTCCCCTGTACCCGAAAAGACTTCGGGTGGGCTTGAAGACCGGGGAACTGACATGCCCTTCATGCGAAATAGAGACAGGACAATACGCGAGCAAGCAAGCTCGTCCAAAGACTCAGAGTTGTATGAACCAGTGCATGAAAACAGACATAGGTTATGAAGTGTACAGGTGGACGAAGCGCAGGGCACCATGTGGCTTCTAAAGGTTATACCGCGAGCCAAACTAAAGTCGAAACCAACATCAAGAGAATCCTCAGGGGTGTCAAACCTGGAGGGTGTCTCAGACTGCTGGGAGGGTTCGGGATCTGGCAGGTTGACGTCTGGTGGACGTTCGGAGTTGGATGTTTGCAAGGGATGCAAGGGTCGATTTTCAGCGGAACTTTGTCAGATCTACATGCGCTTCGTTGAGACGGACGATGTCGCCACGTTTGTGGCGGGCCTGAAGGCTCAGGTGTCCTGAACTTGTCAATGCAATACTTTTTTCGCTTGCCGTGAAGACGGCATACTTGTTAGTCCCCAGCCAGCTAGGCTATGTACCACATACAGACTTGCGCAGGGGTACCAGGAAGAGAAGACGCCTTTCCATCATCTTCTGCAGCTGTCTATGTCTGCAAGGTTTTTTCCACAATCCTATACTCCTGTGCAGAGCGAGACATGCAACATGCGACATTGCTGGACGATGAGCATATCTGCTCGGGATCCTGCGTTAATTTGCGACAACGGGATCTTGCTAAGAAGTCGGGGGCAGTGCCGCCCCGGTGCCAGCAAAGGCCCTTGCAGCTCTGTATAGACATAGCCACGGACCGACCGCCAGATAATTGAAGCACCATGTATCCATGCTCGAACCCAGCTACGCCATGCATGTCTGGAAATTCTGTTGCCAGCATCAGTTCTTTTCCAAGATTCTTTCCCTCTGGTGTCATGGGCCCATGTGGCTGATTGCAATATGATTCACGCCATCTGTGATATCACTGATCTCTGGCGCCTCGCTGCGTTCAAAGCTGCCTTCATGCAGACTGGCGTGCCCAATCGCTGTTTGCAAAGAGAAGAAGCGCTCCGTTGTGTCGGCTCAAGGCGTGAGCCTCAAACCGTACCTTCCATCCGATACCTCTCTGGCCCTGGCCCGTGCCTTGCGACGAAACAAAGGCTGCCTCTTGAAACCTGGCATCCCAGGAGCGCCGAGTCATGACTCGCTGCAGATCAGCCCGTGGCGGCGGTGCACCGGCCTGAGACTGGGAAAGGAAGGCTTTTGAGGCACGGGCAGCGATGTTTGCTTTTTTGGACGTTGCCTTTACCACGAGGCCTTGGCTGATGTGGTGGGTCTGCGCTGCGTGCTACTACTTCTGCCCTTGCTATTTACGAGGCGTGCTGGCAAGACTTGTGTCAGACAGGTACAATAAAGCCTGATCCGGAAGTCTAGAGCCAGTCAGCAGCAGTACGAAGTCAAGCAGACAGGTCGCTGGCAGGCTTCGCAGCATCAAAGAACTCCATCAAGTTGGCTGCATCCACTGGCTCCTCAGAAGGCAAAATGTTTTATTTACCCCCTGCTTAGGGTGTGGGTGGATCCTTAGGTTTGGTTCAGACTTCTGTCACACTCGTCGATCTAACTATCCAACCGGGAGTCAATGAGTTAATTTGTTTGATGCTATCAACAGACCCATGTGTGCGTAGAGGTCATCTCTGGAAAGCCGTATGCTGATTTTACGGTACAACCATCCCCCTGATCCACAGAGAGACTGCCGACAGATGTAGATGATGCAGATGGCTGGGCTCAGGTACGCTTAGCCCACAGAATCTTGCTGAACCAACAGAGGCCAGTGTTGTCCTTGTGCTGTGATGCTATGGCCTGGCCGTGGTTGCAGAACAGGCTCGCCAATGTTTTTCTTTTTCACAGGTGGATCTCTTGGAGGATGCCGACTCCCCGAAAGAAGTGCCATTTGCCCTGCCAAGAGTGCAGGCCGTGGCTTCTCTGTTGCAGTCTCCCTTGGTTGTATCTCCGGATGTATGCTGAAGGCATGAAAGACCGAATCGACGAATCTATGCACCTGCTTGTAGCCATCTGCGGTATATCTGTGCACACAGAATTACACCCTCACAGCGGTAGATAACTATCTACTGTAGTTGGCGATGTAGGTAGGTAGGCAGGCAGGCAGGCAGGTAGGTAGGTAGGTGGGTACGTAGGTAGGTAGGTAGTAGGTAGGCAGGCAGGCAGGCAGGCAGGTAGGTAGGCAGGTAGGTAGTTAGGTAGGTAGGTAGGTAGGTAGGTAGGTAGGTAGGTAGGTAGGTATGACTAGGTAGGTATGTAGATAGGCAGATAGGGTGATAGATGGTGATAGGTAGATAGGCGGGTGCTGTGGTAGGTAGATAGGTAGTTAGACAGACAGATAGATAGATAAAGGTTTTTGCGTGCACGCACACACACACACACTAAACACACCCACTTTCTATCAGATCTCTGATCGAGAATGTCGCCGGTGATGTGGCTCTTTCTTGCCGTATTGCTTGATCTGCTTTTGTCTGATCTGCCTTTGTTGTTAGCACTCTCTGTGGGAATCAATGCTTGATTTTAAGGAGTACGAACGAAAAAATATAATATAACAATGTTGTACACAGAATCCCGACTGGACAGAAATGTAACGGTTCTGCACACGCGATCTCTGGAAATGTCGTGATTCTCATTCTCTCAGCCAGGCTGCGGCGCCCGAGAAGCTAGACTCTGAGGCATCCGGCTGCTCAGAAGCGCTTGTGATTCTTGGGAGCTCAGACGGAAGGTTGGTGTCCTGTCCCTCTTGGCAAGCGACCGGACCTGGACGGTGATCTCCTTTGTGGTGGGCTATGCCATCGTGCAGTGTCCTCCCACTGGACTTGCAAACAGGTATCTTGCTGCTTGCTGCCTGCTTTGTTCTCCTCTGGCCAGAGGTACTTCCTTTCCTCTAGTGACAAGGCAAGCGGCTGTGAAGCCGTCAAGACGGATTGAGCAGCAGGACGAACCTTTTTCCGGCTGCAGAGACGGCCCGTCACCCTAGGAAAGCGCGCTCCAGCCCATGCACTTGTGACCATGTGGTCAATCTTGGGCTGGCGTGCGCGTACAGTTTCCATCCACTTGCTCTTGCACTGAGCCTTGCAACAAGGCAAGGCTGTCCACTTCAAATTTCGCATGCCACAAGTTGCAGCCTTTCAGAATCAACGTGGCGCAGAGTGGTTTGCCGTTGCAGACTTCTGCCAAAATTTGCATCTAGTGTCCGCGGCTTAAATCAACTCTGAATGCTGGTCACAAACTCAGCTGCATCGCAAATGCTTGTCAAGTTATGAGCGTTGCGGTGTACTTCTCTCTTTTATGATCATGTTGTGTCATGATCCTGTGCATGCTGTTTAGTCGTGTACTGGTTTACTTGATTGTTGCAGTTGTGTGGGCCCGTATGATATGAACCAAACATACATGAAGAAGTGTTGTCGCACATCGGCGGTTGCATGCTCTGAGGCCGTATTCCTGTCCTGCGGCCGATGCGTAGAGAGAAAGTTCATGAATCCAGAACACACTGCACGGCAAAGACAACTTTATGGGAAGGGCAGCACATCAAAACGATCGCCAATCACAGATCTGCATGACCAATGTGCTCGAATTAGGATGTTTCCGGGTCTTCTGTTCGAGGGTTGCGTAGCAAGACGGCTTGGCTGGCCATAGAACTCATGACAAAACAGGCCTAGTTAAAAAATATGTTCGAGCGCATCTTCAGGCAGTTTGGGGACTCCGCATCGAGTTGCTCGTTTTTGCCATGCCATGCCCTGGCATCAAACATCAGTGCAAAAAATCATTTCCAGTAACTATACTTCGGGCTACTGCATGACCTTTTGATGCTGCGTTGTTCTTGCTAGCTGCTACCGATCTACATTTTGCATATGTCGGTTTCTTGGTACTGCTTTTCGTGTCTGCCTTTTGTGATGTCAGTCTTCGGTGCCTCAGCTTGCCTCAGCTATAAATGCGATGCCAGAGCCCTCACCGACCTAGGCAGAAACGTTCACACAACTAGCAAAACATGCAATAAACACCGCACCCGGCGAACAAAACAGGCCAGCCGCAACTAGTTACCAAGACATGCGCAAGACACGCATGCGCTCGAACACCGTGCAACCAGCTGACACAAGAAACGACAGGAGGATGGCATGTTCCCACTGAAGGCTAAGGTTTGCACTGATGTTTGGGAGCTCCAGGGCTTCAGCCATGTGAAAAACCGCTGAGCGGGCTTTCTCTGGGCCATCTCCTTGGGTATGCCTTCATCTTTTGACTCCTCTGGAAGCTCTCAGCTGAGCCGGCTCACAGCTTCGCATGGCGTGTCTGATCCTGCCGCCATTCCACCCAGCTTCGCAACGTTTTAGCACCACCCAGGAAAGAACGAAAGAACCCCCCCTTTATTTTAGAAGAGCACTTTGCTAGAGCAGAAAAAAGAGCAGTGCCGTGCCGCCATGGCAATCGAAGCCAAGGCCGAGATGCGATGCTCCACTGGGCCCTTTTTTCCCATCCGCTCGCGCGCTCTCCAGGCGGATGTCGTCGTCGATAACCTCTCGAACGACGAGGCTTCTGCTTCCGCGAAAGCTGCCTTCCTTCTCCCGGAGCCGATCCTTCGCAGACCTCGGAGGTTTTGGAGCTCTTGCGAGCCTTCGGGGCCGAGCCTGTGGGCGAGCGCGGGCCGCAGGGCTGCAGCCTTCCCGCCTCAGCAGTGGCTGAGGGGTCCGGTTTTGTGACGCCATGAGGACGGTGTGCAGGGGTGGGGAGTTCAAGGATGCTTGAAAGATTGGGCCCTCAGACGAGGCTCGCAGTCCTTTTTCATACCTGCTTCAACTCCAGGCCCGTTCGGCTCTTTGGCGGCTATGCTTCCTCCAATTTCAAGGCAGAGCTGCGTCTCCCGTCATGTTCGCATGCTAGTTTGAGCCATGGGGGCGGGTTGACGCGGCAGCGGGTTCCACACGCCGGTCAGCCTCTCGTAGGTCACGGCCAAGGTGGACGGAGGCCTTGAGCACATCTCGACATCTCCAACCAGCAGGAAGATGTATGAGTGTCTTGGCAGGTGAGAGCAAACCGTACCTCCTGAAGGTCAACTACTACGGCTTGAACCTTGAGGACCCCTGCCACCTGTCAGCTTGGCAGCCTCGGGCTTCCCCAGACCTGGCAGTTTCTCTTGCGTTTAAAGGACATCGAGCATCAGCTGTTTGTGATGAACCGTTTAAGGACGCTTTCTGCAAGAGGCTGGTCAGGCTGTTCTTGCGACTGTGTCCTCGAGGAAGAGCTCCTTCCCAACGAACTATCCTTATCCTTCCAAGTCTGGTGCCTTCTACGAGGTCAAGGGCGGTCGGCTCCTGCCTCATCTTTCTTTGGGAGGCGACAGATCGGCGAAAGGCATCTGGACACGTGAAAGGACTGCGATACTCTTGGACTTCATCACGGGCAAGAGGGGAGATGAAATGCTGGCTGCAGATGAGGCCTCCACTTGTGTCGCAACTTGCCCGTGACCTGTGCAACTTCTCCCGAAGGCTCAGATACTTTCGTTGATCATTACCCAAAGCCTAGATAAGCCCTTGAGGCCTTCCTAAAAAAGACGGAACCGAGCCCACAAAAAAGCTGAAACCCGAAACCAGAAAGCCCGAACCTCTCAGGGGAAGAGCGAGAAGCTTCTCCAAGAGCTGGCCGCGGCGCTGGCCCAGCTCCACCAGGCCCATGCCAGCGAGCCTCAAGTTTTGGGTCCTTACAATAAGGGTCCTAGTATGGTATTCTTGGGGTGCAGAGTAGCTCTCTCTCGCTGTCTCTGTCGTGATGTCCGCATGCAGGTCTCCTGGCCGAGTGATAAGAAACTGCGCCAGGGCCCCCTAGAAATTAGCTCGGCGTTCTGTGGCAAGCCAGCTGGCTCTCTCGCTTGCACTGCTGCTCTGCAAGCACCCCAGGGGACATCCGTGCCGGATACCCGCACCCCGGCTTGCAACAGTCATTCACGAGCCGCTGTTGACAATTCCATTGTTTTCCAGGCTGTGCAACACGGGCGACCTCCTTCGTGGTGAGGACATGAGATAGTGTCAAGCGTTGCACTTGACCAGCGGGGAAGTGCCGCCATCGATGGATTTGCTGCAGCGTTTGCAGCTCTAGTTCATTGGCTCGTAAGTTGTTGGGCCCTGCTCCAGCCCTCCATGTCCAGTCACGGCCAGCCAGGAGCAGTTAGCTAAATTGTCGAGGCTTGCACGCACAAGCCGTAGATTCGGAGAGGACATCCTGACCCTACTTTCAATGCATTTGGCGACTTTTATGAGACTTCCCCTGCTGGCGGCAGACATCGCTGCTCTCTGCAGGGTGAGGGCCCTGAGAGGTGGCCCTGTGCCACTCCAGCCCCGCACGATGGCCAGCGCAGCTGGGATCCCCACCTGGGAAAACGTGTACATCAACGGTCAGCGACGCTGGCGCCGTCTTGCGGGTAAACTAAGAATCTACCAGGACGGGAACCGCTTGGGTTTGTTGGCAGATCTTGGCATGGGACGTGTCGTGAACAAGTCGCTTGCTTGTGTTGTCATGGCATCTGGATGACTGCCAGGTGGAGTCGACCTGCCTCGCCAGAGAAGTTTTGCGATGTGATCGATTCCAACACTGGCAAGGCGACCAGCTTGGCCGTTTGGGAGTTGGTACTTCCACTTCCACGATGCAGGTTTGCGCGCGCGTTCCTGCTGGCGGTGGGAGCTCAGAACACCCAGAGTCCGGGCCGTCTGTGCCAGCGCCAACTCGCAGCAAGGTGCAAAGGATGTAGAGAAGGCCGTTGCTGCGGCCCGCGAGGCGTTTCCTTCCTGGGCCAGGACCTCAGAACAAGCTGGCAAGACATTGTCGCGGAAGAAGATAATTTTGTTCGGACGGGGACTCGGAGTTGGCCGAAAATCGAACCCTTTCGGGACCTCTACCAGACTGATGTCGCCGTTGCAAGACTTCGAGTTGCAGGGCACATCCAAAGCTGCAAGTCACCCCGCACACCGTAATCACAGACTGGACTTGCCGCCATTGCCGGCAAGCCATCCTGTGTCAGTGTCTGCTTAGAGGAAGGAAAGGCCGAAGGTGGGTGGGCAGGTGGGTATGGCAGACAGCCGGCACGATGAAAGAACGGATGGATGGGCCGCTATGCTGTGCACATGCAGTCAAGGATATTCGTGACGCAGCAGATGTATGTATCTTTGCCTGCCAGACCAGACACAGCGGGACTTACCTCAGAAACTGTGTGATGCGCGACGGCTCAGTGTGAAAGCAAGGCAGAAAAGCCCCTCGACGAACGCAAGGCCTTCACGATTCCAGCATGCTCAGAGGTTCTGCAACCGCAGCGGTGCCAGCACAAGCAAGATCTGCCTGGTTTACCTGTGGCTTGGGCACGGTGCCGGTCATTGCTTTACTGCTTTTGGAGGCGATCTTGCTCAAAGTCTTGGAGAAGTGGCAGGGCAAGAAGGCGATTCCTGGAAGACCTCCCAGCACCTGCATGTGCACGATCCGATGCAAGCGTGTGCAACCGCTCGGTGCGCTTGTGTGACTTTCCCCAGGCTCAGGCCACGGAGTGGCTCTGCAAAGAGCTGGGCTGCACGACGGCGTTTGCCAAGAACGTGCAGGCGCCTTTCAGGGCTTCGCTCTTTCGGGCCGTCGAAGAGGATACATAACATTTGCGTGAAGCAGCAGGTCAACATGGTTGACTTCCATCTCGGGACTTGTCTTCCCCTCACAATGAGCACGACTTCAGAGATCGATGGCTTCCGTTGCCTAGGCTTGAAGCTTGTCGACATGGTCAAGTTTGAAGAGAGGATGGCATTCGGATCGCTGGTCTGACCCCCGGTGCTCTGGGAGCGCCCGCTTCGTCTTCGAAACCCGACCCAGACTAAGGTTGTGCGCGAACCTATCGGCGTGGTTGGCTGCAGCCGGGCAGCAGTTTTTCGATCTTGTCTAAGATCGAAGTGAGGACAACACCTACTACGGTACTGATCCCAATGTGCTTCCCGTCACATCTTCTGACAACCACAAGCAGTGAGGCTGCTGCATACGGCACGCCAGGGTCCCCTTCGTTCTTGGCTCGCCTTAGTTGACGCTGCTCCTATATTTCTTAGCCAGCCGTTTCTTGAATAGTGGTTGCCTTGTATCATGCCAGCATCATGAGGCATCACCCCATGGAACTATCCGCTGAACCAAATTGCCTGCTGCCAAGCGTTCGTGCGCTTCGGCACTGAAGTCCGAGTGCCCGTGGACGTCAGGCAGCTAAAGTCTTCCCAGCGATGCTGGTGGGTTGCACCATTGTGCTGAAGCCGAGCGAGGTGAGTGATGTGCCTTCGGTGCAAGCTATGGCCGAGAGATGCTCAGACCACAACAGGTGACACCTGTTTGTGCATACCTCCTTGCGGAGGCTGTGCATGAGGCCATCTGTTGAAGTGAGTATTGACTAGGTGCTTTGCTCAACATTTGGGGCAGGCCGGAGTTCCCGCAGGAGTGTTCAACATGCTGATGGGTGATGGACCAAACTGTGGAGAGGCTCCCGATCTCAATGCACGGAGGATGAAGCCAGACGGGATTCTTAAAGTCTCCTTTCGCTATGTAGGCTATTGCAGCCCATCCCGGAGTCGACATGGTGCCATCCCCAGCCTCCCTTGGAGTCGCCTCTTCGCCTGTTGGGGATCAGGTCAGCTTCACAGGATCCACGCGTGCAGGCTGGGAAGTCCTTGCGGCCTTGCGGTGACTGCCTGCCTTTCTTGAGCCCTCCAGGACTCCGCCCTTTCATTTCACGATTTTCTTTTTGCAGGCAAGCGGATCTCCGAGGTGGGCGCGCAGACCTTGAAAGTGGCCCTGTCCTCATACTGCTCCAGAAGATGCTGAAAGCTGGATCCGAAGCCGGAAGGTCCGCACAGAGCTGGGTGGAAAGAGCGCTGCATTGCTGCTGGAGGCTCCTCATGAGCTTGAATTCCACTCTGCTAGCGTGTCGACTGGGTTTGTCCAAGGATGCAGACCTCCCCAAGCTAGTCCCCAAGTTCATGCAGACTTTGATGCCGCTGCCTCAGCGAAGTCGAAAAGAAGCCGATTTCGATGACGAGAGACGATCTCTGGGCCAGGAACAACAGCGGCCAGTCCTGCAATGCACTGAGCCGGATGCTAGTTCCGCGAAGTCGTCCGGACCCCAAACAGCCGCACTTCTCGAGCCGGACCAACGAGACCGCGACTGAAGGTTACGACGAGGCTGTGGGGATTGCGAAACAGGCCCATGCAGCGAACACATCGGGCTCCAGAAGCATGACTTGACACATCAGGTCGCAGAGCAGACCACGGTCAGCTTTGCACAGGATGACAAGGCTCCCAGCTCAGACTACTTGCGCCCTGCGCAGTTGTAGCCGGTCGTTGGGCGAAAAATCAGAAGCTAGGATGGCTAAGAGCGACTTCGTTGATGAGTGCGAATTGTTCGGTAACTCTCCTAGCTGTCAGGATAAGTCTTGTTGTGTAACACACGGAGTGTGTGCAGCGACATGTCCGCCGATCGACGCATATGCCGCAGCCGCTGCTGGCTTTGCGTCGCCCGACGATTGCAGAACTTTTCCAGATCCATTTGTCGGCGCTATGGCTTCGTCCCGCATCGACCTTGCCGCGGCCTTGGAGGTGGTCCGCTCGGCGGTGGCCGACGGTGACGACCTCGCCCCACTCTTCTGTGTTTGGAGCGGGCTCGAGCGGCAGGCGATCACCAAGGCCGTTGCCAATTCGGCAGTGACGGCAGGGGCTATGCCCTCGACGGCGCCTACGGGATCTTCGTCTGGGATGGCGGCTTGCTGTGGCTCGGCGGATCCCCGCCCCGAGCCCCCCACGTCATCGGATCACGCGCCTCCTTCGGCTCAGCGAGGGGCGGCGGCGCGGACAGTGCCAACAAGATGGGCACATCGGGCAGTCGGCGGCCAGGCCAAGCCGTCCGCACCGCCACCTTTGGCGGTCCAGGCAGGGAGTTTTTTTTTGTTTTTTGTTGTCTATGCTTTGCTCCTGTTTTCCCGTTCTACATACTGTTTTCACTTGCTTGTAGCTTTGTGCTTGTTTGTGCTCTTGCTTTTCTGTTTCTCTGCTTTTCCGCTTCTCTGCTTTGGTTCTCTGTTCCTCCGCTTATCTGCTTTTCCGTGTTTGCTTCTCGTTTTCTGCTTGTTCTTGCAAGCATCTCGGCTCATCTGAGGGAGAGCTTGGGTGGTGAAAGGGCCACCTAGTGGTGGAAGTGGCCTGCATAAGCAAGTTGCTGACACTGACTTGGCCATGGAATTTTGGTGTGCTAGATTACGTGGATGGCCATATGCTTCTCGACTGGCTTTGGAAACGATGTATGGCATTTCATGGATAGGTGCTGTCCCGTACATCATCGAGCACGACACCTGGCTGTGGATACTCCCGCTGCAACGGGCAGAATTCACTCATCGCGCATACCTCATTGATGAGAGTTTCGCCATCAGCGTCTTTGCCTGCGGTCCACTCATCTGCTGATCACCACGCTCTATGATACTGCCCGAACCAATTTTCGAGAAGGCCTGCAGGCATGGATCACAACAACCAGAGTTCGCAAACGAGCACTTGCTAGGGCCATACGTCGTGCAACACAGGCAGCGGACGGCAGCACAACCTACAAGGGCCGCCGTGTTGTGCTCCTAGGCCGCAGGAACCTGCTACTAACGGCACCGCGCCGTGCTGCTGCAGGCGATCCCAGGTCCAGACGATCTATCCGAGCCCGTCTGCACATAATCATACTGAACATCGGGAGCCTGGATTCGGCCATCTATGCAGGGGGTGCCCCGGGCCCCGTACGATGTCACATGTCTTCAAAAAGTACATCATGGGCTTGGTGGAGAATCCACGCAGTGGGCCTCAGCGGGATGGCGTTTCGATAAAAGGAGTTGACCCCAAAGTACGTTTCCAAGAAGACGCTGTTCTGGTCCACGAAACCTTCTGATGCTCTACCGCCCGGTAGTTCTTGGTAGGCTTCTGCATTTCCGGGTCACGAAGGACCATGCCATTGCTACCAACACGCTTTGCACTTGGAGGCTGAGAGCAACAATCTCGTGCAGAGGAATGGAGCGCTGGGATAAGCTGGGCTCACTGCTACGCTCGCTGGCGCTGTGTAACATCCTGATTCCTGGTTGTTTCGGGCTGAACTGTACCCCGGACTATGTGCAAGGCTCCGTATGGAGCACGCCTATGCCACAGCCAGCTGCTACCCCGACGCGGGGGAGCTCGCAGCTATTTGGGAGGCACATAGTTTGATACTACCCAACGGTTGGGTTCGACAGAGCTCCCAGTATACTTTGTTGGGGCTAAGCACAAGTCTGTGGATCGATTTCGTCATCGCCCGTAGGCAGCATGCGGATGGTATGGCCGCATGGCCAGGCGAGCCAGACCTCTGCAGTCGCAGCCAGCTTGCCACTTCACCCTTCCACTTCACCAGGGATGGACCTGCCAGTGGCTTTGACATACTGGCGCTTGATCAGGAGGCTCGAATGGGAGGACCTCGCGTGACTACGATCTGAAGCTTCAGACCTTCACTGCCCAGCTCTGTCCATCTCAACAAACTCTTGCTCGTGAAGGTCGCTACTCTCTTCCCCAAGCAGACCACACAGCCTGAACCTCGTGCCTGTCAACCCCCAGAGTTCATGGGGCAGTCACCACTATGTAGCTCGGCTTCGCAGAATGCGACAACTTGGCTGCACAGCCGTTCGCGCGTGCGTGGAGGCCTTCAAGATGGACGGCATGCTCGCAGGGATCTTCTGAACCGTGAGCTTGCGCAAGCAGTGGAGGCGGCACAGCGGCATGACAAGGGCCAGCTGCACCGCATCATTCGCCGACTGGCAGAACTCCTGCGTGATTCTGAGGAGCACTTGACACTTGTCAAATACTTTGAACAGCTCCTCCAGTCAAATGCGGCTCCGCTGCCAGTCTTTCGATCCTGCACATGGCACCTCAGGTCGCCACCCAGACTGTTCTGTGGCCTTGATCCTCAAACAGCTCCCTCTTTTGGATGATGTCTGTACACAGTTTCTGCGGCTACCAGTTTCTGCATATCTGCCACACAGAAGCACTGACGACGCTATAGCACAGGTCATTGATCATTGTCGCTGGGTTCGACAACAGCATCAGCAGCTGATCTCAACGGTACACAGGCATCGTCTGAAGCATTTGTGTATGTCCGGCCACAGTTGGCCATTGATCTTTCTACTGCTTTCGACCTTGTTCCGGGCTACGTTGTGCAGCGCATCACAGTGGGCCGGTGCAGGGGAAGCACTAGCAGAAACTATACTCGACCTCCATTCTGTATGCAAGTACACCATCCAGCATGAACGGGGCGCACCGCCTTTGTGCACATGAGGCGAGGCGTACGACAGGAGTGTACCCCTGAGCCCTTGCTGTGGGTCATCTTTAACTTACCTTTCACAACAGCTGACGTTGCATTGGATACGAAATCATTTAGCTCTAATTCACGGAAGACACGCGTGCCAGTTTCGTCACCCACAACATCTCGGACATCAAGTTTGCCTTCAAAGCAAGCCATGTCATTTTCGAGGTCTATAGAGCTCATGGCATGAAGGTCAATCTCAGCAAGTTCGGGGTGGTTTTTGGAGTGCGCGGCAAAGCAGGCATGGAATTTTTGCATCAGCATTTGCAGCGCTGAGCTGACAAGTGCTGATTGGTCATCGGCATTGGGCAGTTGGGGCCACAGAGATGTGCATTCCAGTGAAAACACACATTATGATTTACTTGGGGGTCGTTTCGTATGGCAATTTTGAACAGGAGACCCTCAATCATCGTTTGAAGATTGCCCAAGCTACCAGATGTCGCCTGGCCAGAATCCCTAGTGCGCAAAATGTCTGACACAGCAGCAGCGACTGCAGCTCTATGTGTTCCGTGTGCGCTCCGCAGCCCTATGGCCTGGCCCCGATTGGGTTGAACACCGATTGTTTTCGTAAGCTACATAGCTTCGAAGTGAAACGTCTACGTGCGATCTCGTGCATTTAAGTCGCGAATCCACCACTGCGACCGCCATAGACCAGCTCCTCTCTACCCTGAAAGGTTGTCGAAAGCAAGCAGACTCGGATGAGCGTGGGCATGTAAGCAGTGGATGCTAGCCCGGTACCAGCATCTACAAGATCTTGTGCATCCTCAGCGAGCCGGTCTGAAGGAGGCCCCCACGTTGCAAGAGGTTGCCTGCCCCGCATGTGGACAGTACTTTACGAGTCTTCGCGACATGCGTATACACCGCGAAACACAAGACCGCACTGTGCAGGTGTCCACAGGGGCCGGCTGCTGCACTGCATGGTATCCGCATGCAGGATCACTGTGAAGGTAACGTGCCGGTGTGTCGGCGTTAGAGCCAAACTCACTAATTGGCATATCGTTAGAATGCACATCAGGGCCAGCTTCCTAGTCCTGCGTTCTGATGTGATGTAACAAACCTCAATCCTGAGCCTGCTGCCCAGTCCGCTGCGGGGCTCGGAGACATGAATGCTGGACCTGCTTGGCAGCACGCTGTGGGGTTCAGGGTAGAGGGTGAAACTGTTACCGTTGTTCCCATTGCCGAAAGATCAGATAGCTGGAAACGTGTCTTGCACTTGGATTCCGTGAGCTGTGCAATCATTGTGTTTTTGTGCACATTTGGTTTCGTCAGCGCGGGAGCTGTGAACAAACATATGCGATCCCACATCCGGAGCTTGCTCGACTCGAAGCAGAAGCTGTGGCCCAAAGCCTGAAGGTACGGGAGGGGCAACAACGTCCTCGTGATGCTTGCGCAGCGAAACGGAGCCAAGCATTGTTATCGTGTCTACATCACCTGTGTTTGCTACGTCGGTCCGCTTTTAAAAATGCAAGGTGCAGGAAATGTTTGCCCGCTTGCAGCCTTGCAGCAGAAAGAGACTTCGGAAGCAGTGGCCCCGGATTCCGAGATGCCACCTGCCACCTGCCTCGACCCTGGGACAGATACGATTGGCAGCAGGCCCGAACACAGGAAGAGAGTTGGACCAGGAGAAGAGTTGCAAAAGATGTGAGATTGTTGGCTCGCATCTCGATGCGACACGAGGACGAGCTCAGCCAATGCCGCACGAAGACGGACTTCACCCTCACCCTCGAGATAGACTCTTGGAGCAGCTGTACAACATTATGACAATGGACTGGAAAAGAAACTCCTTACGGCCTTACGGTTTACTTTGTTCATCGGGCTCTCGGCGGATTCGATCGAGAATCTGGCTCAGCAAGGACATCTGAGACAGGTGGATGGGAACTCGAGGGTGACCTACCTTCAATGGGAGTACAACCGGGAGGAACTGGTGGCCACGGACAAGACTCTTTTGCCGGACACCGAGCTCCGAAATCTCCTCCAGACCTTGAAGACCAGCGTGGAAACTGGTGGAGCAACGTCAATCGGCAGTGACCTTCTTCTTGGGAATAGGCCGACGTGATCCGCGGTCACTGGCTTGCTACCGATCTCTGCAGCAGCTGTGCTTCCACTCCAGCGCGCAGCTGATCAAGATGAGATTGAAGCCGGTCAAGGTGGAGCGCCGACCTCTTGTGAAGGTACTCCAGGAGAAGTTCCCGGCACATCCATCCAGGACGGAAGAACAGCGGGCCAATTATCTGGCCAAGATGCAGCAGCAGTGGAGGAAGAGGGCAAAGGCAAGGGCAAAGCTCAGAAGGAGCAACCGGCACAGGGACAAACAAAAGGGGCGGCCCGAGCGATTCCCTGAGCGCGGCGGCAGCACAGTTCGCCGCCAAGTCCAGGCGTTCCGGCTTGCCCTGTGGAATCCTCATCAGCTCTGCTATGCGAACTCCGCACATCACAGACCTTTGGACGGCTTGAGGCTCAGTGCTTAGGGCTTCTACGTCATGAACCAACTGGTCTTCTGCAACACCCAGCCTCGAGGTCGCCTCTTATACTTATGACATGGCGGTCAGAGCTCCGCCAACAGCAGGATGTTGCGGAGCTTGGGGGCATGCGAAGCCGTTGGCCGAATTGCAGCATTTCTTTGCACTGAACAACAACTTCAACCTTCCAGATGTAACCGCTACTTGTTTGGGCTGCACAAGCTATCAATGGTCTGCTGGGCTGGAGTTTTGCGCACCTTAGCTGCTCTCGGCATGACCATGAAGGTTCAAGTTGGTGCCATGATACATTGAGCTGCTGCTAGCTGGTTTTAACACGTTAGCGTTCTTACCTCGCTTGATCACACGTGACGGGGGCTGGTGTCTACTTCGCCACTCCTGGCGACACCGCTGTGGGGAGAACCCGTGTTGTGCAGAGCATGTCAGTGCAGCCGCACGCCGGGCAAAGCCTGTTCTCCGAGAGCGCTCGCAAAGCGTCCCTGCAAGCTGGAAGCTGCGAAGTGACTAAATGAAAATGTTTGCTCTTGCTTCTGCTGCTGCTTTTGCTTTCCCGCTTTTCTGCTTGTCAGCTTCATTTTTCTTTTTCCAACCTCATCCTTTCTGGTTTCATTCTGCTCCGAAACACTCAGTGAGTTCTGAGGCCCACGATATTTACGACTTGCTGCTACTACTGCTGCTACTAC